GTTAGGGTTAGGGTTAGGGTAATGTTGTGAATCGAGTGGCCCATGGTGGTGGTGGGGTTATGGTATGGGCAGGCGTATGTTATGGACGATGAACACAGGCCACTCGATTCACAACATTACCCTAACCCTAACCCTAACCCTAACCCTCACACCAGATACTGACCTACCCCAATAAAGCAAAAATGCATGTTTCAGAGTGGCCTTTTATTGTGGCCAGCCTAAGGCACACCTGTGCAATAATCATGCTGTCTAATCAGCATCTTGATATGCCACACCTGTGAGGTGATTCAGATTTGTGAACAATATTTGAAAGAAATGGTTATTTTGTGTACATAGAAAATGTTTTAGATCTTTGAGTTCATCTCATGAAAAATGGGAGCAAAAACAAAAGTGTTGTGTTTATATTTTTGTTCAGTGTACATCAGTTATATTATTCCTTTTTGCTGCATAATCACACAAATTAGAAGAGGACCTTCATGTAATTTCCATTTTTTAAGTGCTTCAATTAAAACTAGAATATGGTATTGAACAAAGCTTCATTTATCCCGGGTGCAGGAGGAGACTCATTATTCTTAAATGAAAGAGAAATTCAGCAGTGATCTGTCTTTTCTATTAAACTACAGAGGGTATAACAAGTCTTTCATCAACAAGACTCTAAAACAGTCATTTTTAAGTCCCTTCTTTATGTTTAAATGATGTTTAAGTGGTGTCATTGTAAGCTGTTCAGTTAGGATTCCTGTTCACAATCTAAGGACAAAGGATTTTTTTGCCATTTCACATAAAACAATGCAATCTCAGATCTGTGGAGCCAATTTAAAAAAGCTGCAATGAATTAACATATAATCACTTTAGCAACTGCATGGTGTAGAAATCAGTAAATAATATTTGTACTGTTGTTTCAACGTGCACACAGTTATAAACCATTTAGTTGTGTTCATGTTGTGTTAAGGCAAGCAAGCTTTGGATACATTGATGATAGCTGAGAGGTGAGGGTATTTAACTCTTACCCACATTTTACTGGCCATGCTGCGATTTAACCTCACTGTTAACATTACCACCAGGCGATTCTCCTTAAAAAACAGAAGACAAAAGGAGATTACTGTACATTGTCATATTGATATTTTTCAATTACATAGAAACTCATAACATTAGTTCAATATTGCATAGCACAGCAACTGCAATTGTGGTAATGCATGTCAGTAACTAGGTAGCAGAATGCAACATTGCAAAAACACAACATTTGTGGATAGTGGGCACAAGTTGTGAACACAAAATGTACATATCATCCCCTTCTAAGTGTAAATGGGGATAGCAAGCACCTTATTATGTAGTGTGATGCTATGTTTTTGTCTCCGTTTACCAACTCCTGAGAGAAATATATGTTGCTTAAGCTGTTAGCTGCTCCACTAGGTTCAACAGCTAGCTCTAACAGTGTCTGCCAGTGCTGTAAAATAGAGAGGTTTGTTTCCGGAAACAGCTGCATGCTAAAGTCGAAAAGGAGACCGCGAGAGTGAACCACAACGAGCAAAGACGAGCTGGAACTTTCTATAAAACTCTGTAGCGTTTTTTAGCCGATAATTCTCTCTCGGATCACTACATGTACCCCATTTCATATTGTCACATTCTTTTTGCATAATCATTGATATAAAAATATCAATTGCAGCGGTCAATTCTAAGAAACTTGGCAAGCAGAGAACCTCATCACAAATGAAGTCACTGACAGTTTGAAAAAAATTAACGCTTTGATGAATATCAGATGGTTTTCTTGGAAAGGGATCTTTCTGTGAGCTTTGATACAGCTATCAAAAATACAACTACAGAAAAGTGTCTCTTATCACATTGAACACCTCTGGATCTAAAGGGGTCTATTACATTATTTTTAAAATGTTGGTAGCCTGTCGACTTTTTAAACAAATCAAATTTCTGCTTAAGCCTTGTCTCATAAACTGTCATTTAATTTCTCCTTTTAAATTGTATCTTATTTTTTTACTTCATACTTTGTGTCTGCAGTATATTCATTGCTTTTTATGGATGGTGTTATTTTTATATTGGCTAATTGAAAAACAAAGGGTGGATATAAAGGGATGTTTGATTGTGCCACACTATACAACGAGGTAAATGGAAATATTGGTAGCTCACCTTCCTCAATGCCCGGTACATACAAAACAGACACCTAAAAGCATGGCTAAGATAATCCTTGTCCTGTAAGCTATTTATTACAAAATATCTTATTAGTATTCCAACTACAGTCTGTTCCGTCCAATGCCTCCTTCACACCCATTGTTCAAAAATAATATACTCACTTCAAAGCAAAGCCATACATCTTCAAAGGAAGATATATGGAAATGTAATTTCTAATAAACATCCCCATTCTGCATCTAAATGCAAATCATTGCCACAGTGGTAAACATAGGAATCAAATGTGCATGTGCAAGCATTTTATTTGTGGGTCTCTATCATTCTTTTAGCCGGTACTGCAGACATTGAAACACCTGTAGCTCCTGTAGACTTCTGTCAGATCTAAAGGAAATTTTTAGGCAGGTTTTATGTTTGATAAATTAACATCAATGAAGACGTAAAAGAAAAACCATGGCTCAAAGACTATTTCAGCTTTTAAGAGGATCAAACTACTGCAAAAGAGAAGTGAAAAACTACTTCTATGACCTTTTCTGAGCTCTTGTGGAAGCAGACAAAAGCAGAACATGTCTTCAATCACCGTTTGTCAGGACAAAGTTAAGAAGCACTGTGAAATCCAATGCAGTGATTTTTAAGCCATGTTGGTTTGTGCATGGGAGGATTGGAGGGAAGAAGAGAGACGTTCCACGGCTGAGTAATTGTAGCTGTCGCCCTTCTGTCATCTCTCCTTGTTTCAGTGCCATTTAGTACGAGAGGTATTTGTCAAGCTTGAATACTCTGAGACAAGCAGGGATGATATATATTGTGTTTGCCAAAGCAAGTGGGGGGTCTGTGTATACCATGGGCTGAAATCAGCACAAGCAAGGCTTTTATGAATTTGACATCATTTAATTTCCAGCTCAATGATTTTACAACAAAAACACATGCGAGCATCTCAGGCTTAACCAAACTTAATTAGATGTATTCTGAATATATATGCATATCCCCGGTGTGGGGTTCAGTCACAAAAAATTATTCAAAAACATGAAATCTAATTCAAATCAGCATGTCTCCCCCTCTTTATCATTACACATTTCCAATGGCAGGAATATCACATCTATACACACAACTAGCATGGAGGAAATGTGATTTCTAAGAACTCCCACACCTAGTGCGCTCTCTCAGCTTGTCCAGCCGTGATTCAGTGCAGAGCTCACTCTGTTTATTATATCCCTGCATTATATGTGGCAAGTGTATTGAAGCAATCACAATTCCCTCTCTCAGTTGATGGCTGAGTCACATCCGACAGTGCACCTTAGCTGTTTTAAAGCCACATCAACATGAGTGATGGCTGGAAGTCGTCTGACCCACACACCCCTAGTGGTGGTTGCATTTTTCTTCCCTGTCTCTGCAAGATGGATTTGAAATCACACAGCACCTCCTACTGTTTGAAAAACAACACATCACTCTGACACTGGACCAGATGGACCACAGCAAGTTTTTCATTCAGTAAAGCTTTTATGTGGTAAAGTGAATGATTCGTAGAGTTACAATTATGTAGAAACTCACACAGAGGTGACAGATTAAACAATAATGGGCCTGATTATTATTATATAGCTTGCCTTAAGTAATATTTAACCTGTCAAGAGATTAAAGACATAATAGTGTAATGTTTCCTCCCCCAAGGTTAGGGTGTAATATTGCTTTATTCGCCTAGTGGCACTGCACTGGGACAGTAATCATACCAGATAATTACCTCTCGTTGTGCTGATACCCAGCAAGTCAACACTCTCATCATACATCCTTGAAATACATAGCTAACAATAACAAACTGTGAATGTGTCTGCTATATTGCTCTATTCTGTTTTGACTCCAAGCCAAGAGAAAAATGTCACTATCAGACAGACAAAGGAACAAAATGTAACACCTTACAGAGAAGGTGATGAAAATGTCATGCAGTGATAAACAGAGGCCATTTATTTAACAATATGAATACGAGTCTAAATGCATTCTATTGTGGTGAACGAGCAGCACCTAGTTTGTGAAATAGATGGAGATGTCATGCTCAAATTACCCAGACACTCTCTCCTTCACACAGGAGGCAGTGGGAGCTGTCTGTTGATGTCTTCCTTCAATGTCTGTAAATTAATGAGCCGTTTTGTCGAATGAGGATTCATCACATGCATGCGGGGTGTGAAAAAGACAGAGTAACGTCATTCTGTTTCTGCAATATTCTTTGTTTAACTTGTCTCAAAGGTAAATAATGCCAGCCTATTTTCTGGACCTGGAGTACATATTGGACGATAATACACTACAAATCACAGCCTGTGCAAGATTAAATGGAATAATGATAAATTATACTACAGGACATACATCCACAAATATGCTTCTTGGTGTGATAGTGGAATAATTGCAACATCAACAAAAGTACACTAGATGGCGCTATGTGAGAGAAAGTTACTGGTCTCATACACACCAAAACTTCAAAAGAAAATTCCAAGAGCTTCAATTTTACATTTGCACCGCCGATTTAATCAGGCCAACGCCCTTTAAAATGTGCATTTTTTAATTTGGTTCAAGTTTTTTGAAATAACATCTCTATGTTTTGACCCATCGCTGAGGAGTAGCATAAACCCTGTGACAATTTCTCAAAATATGTGGGGTTAGAAAAATGGACGCTCGTATAGTCAATTTCTCCACTATAATTGAGACAAGGTAATGTCGCATATATCTTCAGTTTGATTACATTTCACAAATGTAATTTCTCATCATGCTTTGATTTCACACCTCAAAGAGGCTCAATGATCCTGAATGTGTCAATCTGCGGTGCGACAGGGAAGAGGCGCACTGAGGTCCAGTAGGGACACACCGGCCGACACGGGGATACAAACATAAGCTCTGGAGTCTTTAAAGGCAGCTGAGCCAAGAAGGACTTTATTACCCAGAGAGCACTCGGTATTCTCCCACGAGCTCCCTGCCTCGGTTAATGTTGATCAGGGTGCGCGGGTTGGTCGCTGCCTGCTTATCTCTCAGTGTGTGCGTGTCTCTCCTCCACGCACAGGCGCCCTGCACTCCAGTCTGCTGACACACCGCGAGGACAGTCCGCGCTACACGTCCGCGTCATTGGACTCTATGTGGATACAAAGCCCGGTCACTACACACATCCATGGGGATAATTTAGTTGCAACTGCAGCCCAATACCATTTGCATGAGAACAGGTAAGTGACTTAGTTATTATTTGGAAAGGCACATTTTCGGACGGCATGTTCCTTATTCTCAAACTTGAAAGAGCTCTCACCCTGTGTGACATTTTTGATCGCTATCCACTGTCATGTTTAGTGTCTTATTCCTCGTATAATACTACATGAATAGATATGTGTTTCTTAATTCAGCATACAAACTGCTCTTTTAGCAATAAAACCTTAGCAATAAACAAATTAAGCTAAAATCAGGTGCTTTTAACAAATTACAACAGCCCCTTGTGTTTTTACTTATAAACTGAAATCCTATCCTGAAATGCTAGATTCATAGGCTGGAGCTGGATTAATGAAGCCATAAAGTGACTGTGTTGTTAAATCAGGCGTATGGCACAAAGTCGCCAGATGAGCAGGGGACACAGTAAGACCGAGGACAATTGGCCTCTTGTGTGTTGACGGTTTTATGATAATGAAAGTGGACCCAGTTGGCTAGGCCAGTCCTGGACACACAAAGATCATTCTCAACAAGTCCGGTACTGTGGGCGCCTGCTTGGAGCTGAGGCAGCGAGTGTGTGTGACAGCACCATTATTCACCAAGATGCCAATTACATTAGTCTTACACTGGAAAGAAAAATTGTCCTGTTAGGCTGACCCAAATGAAAACCAAAACCAAGAGCAGATGCAATTTGGCTGGACATGTTTTACTTAATTCTACCATTAGCTTTCAGACTCTTTTTCGTGTCTAGTTTAGTTGTAATGTAAAAAAAAAAACCGGTTGTGTTCATCTTCAATACAGATTTCAGATGTTTGCCAGACATGAGAGCTTGTAAACACTATCTTTTAAAGCATTATTTTAATTTAGCGCCCACAGACAAACAAACTTATCACCATCTTAATTTAACATACTGTAGGCCTCAGTAAAACATATCCTTGATGTTTCCCTAAGATTGTAATAGCTGGAAATAAATGAATGATTTTTCCTGTTTCCATTTAATAACCCTAACATGTTTTGCATATGATTGCCTAATCTACTTTAGGCCACTATGAAATTCATGAGACTGATCATCGTTAGACTCATCAGTAAAAAATAATCAATACAAAAAAAAGCAGCCTGGACCAGCTGCCACTTTCAGGAAATCATGTTCTTGCTGCCTGGAGAGGCTCATGAATCTTGCATGTGCACCACTCAAACAAACATGGAGAGAAATAGGACACAATTGGAGAATTGCACAGCACTAACAGTAGGGTGTAACTGTAAGCTGTTTGTGGGCGAATTCATTTAGGTTTAATGCATTGTGTGACTACTTTACCAAGGAAGGAGGAGAAAAGGATTCAGATTCATCTTACCAGCCACATAACAGAGATCAATAAATAATATAATTGTATTACGTGTATGTATGTGTGGTTTTGGGGGCATCTGCTTGAGTGCAAATACACTCTTTATTTCTAAAAAGGGAATAAGACATAACATTTCAAATATATGTGTCCCTCTCACATCCGCCTGGGGAACTACAGGGGGCACAGACACAGACCATCGTGTATTGCTGACTCTCTGTCCAAATGCAATTCCTTAATGCACTCTGAGAGCCAGAGATCTAATAAGAAGTGGAAGAGCATCTTCAATAATGAAACCCCACCTGCATCTCTGCTGCAGAGTGAGGGCTGGGCCCGAGAGGCTTCATAAATAACAGAAGCCAGACCTGACACGTGCTGCTCCAACGTCTGGCAACTGCCAATAATCCCTCTCATCTACTAAAATGCTGTTCTTGCAGAGTAGGGTGAAACAGAAACAATGCTTAGTTTTAGTTTGCAGTCATCAAGTAAATGCAGTCTCTTGCAGAAGCTTTACTCTATAAACAGTTCTCCAGAACGAGATCATGGACATTTAATCAGGTTTTACTGACGAGGAGAGTACAAGAAGAGCTTCCTGAGATCATTTTAACACATGGGAGCAGGGAGCAATTAACAAAAATACTTGAAACACGTTTTATTCTCTTGACTACTAAAGTCATGTCAACGTTCAATTAGTCCTACATTATTGTTCTTCTCTTTTCTACACACTGTTGACTGTAATAACTTGTAGTGCTTTTGGTCTCAAGTCAGTATCTTCTTCACTCAGGCGGTAATTTTGTGTTTGTTGTCACAGGGGCGTTGTTGTGAAACAAATTAATTTTCTCTCCAATATTTGAGACAAATCCCCTGTAGCAATTAACCTGCATTTGAGCAATTAACCGGTGCTTGTCGCTATCTAATAACTACAGACTCTTGAGGCTCCATTCCCTCTCATTCAGCTTTGTCGATTACATTAGATGTCAGTTCATAATCCTAATGTTTTACCAGGAAGTGGTCTGGAAAGCAAAATCACATGAATGCTTAATGATGGAACAGTGTTGTTTCCTTTGTTTTGGAGCGTCTTGTCCTGTTTATGAAGAGAGCCTTTCTTTCTGACGCAGAATGTGACCCTCGCTGCTGTTCTTAAGCCTGACCCAGTGGCTGACAGAGCCACAGGCTGTCCTCGCTATGAAAAGATAGCTCTGTGTCGAGCTGCAAAGATTGACCCAGCAGGCCCCATGACTCTCCTGTTGTGTCTCGCAAAGAGTCTCATGAGCGTGATTTATTTAGTTCAGAAGTCACTCTCAAAGAGCTTCTTTCATAAATAATGTAAAGAAACCCCCTTAAGAAATATGGATAATATGGAAGGCGTATGCTAAACTACTGTTAGTAAGTGCTGTGTATCAAGCTAACTCAAGCTTCTCAACAGTAATCCGCTTCACTATACAGTACCCTAAATTTAGTTTTTTTTTCAATTGGCCATCTGCATCAGTGTGTGTGTGTGTGTGTGTGTGTGTGTGTGTGTGTGTGTGTGTGTGTGTGTGTGTGTGTGTGTGTGTGTGTGTGTGTGTGTGTGTGTGTGTGTACGTGTGTGTGTGTTTGTATAGCGACCAAGAAGGAGAGAAGCCTTTTATCCCCCTCTTCAGCTGCCGAGTGCCTGAAATATTTAACAGGGACTGCACTATTTTTGGGTTTGCGCTCAGTTTGTTGAGGAGCTTATGTAATATGTAGTTTCAGCTCAACGTGCGCGGGTACTGTCGTATACCAAATAACACACCAGCTTCTCGGCTAACTTAAGCGTGGCGATGGTGTAAACATTATGACTTTGCAGACATACTGTACGCCACGATGACGGATACTGTACGGTGAATCGGAACAAGGACTCCTGCACCATCTGTGCTTCGATTGATTTAATTCCTGTTTTTAAAACGGTGTCTTGTTTTTCAAGGAAGCAGGACCAGGCCCCGTCTTCTCAGGTTACTTGTTTCTTTGGAATATCGATCAACTCATCTCTCTTCCTGCAACTGTCCTCATCTATCCCCCTTTCTTTCCTTAATTTGTCTCCTTTCTCTGTATACTGTTCTCCACCATCTCCTCTCCTCCCTTTTCTCTGAGGTGTCAGATTCTCTGACTCGTGCCCTGGTGTGGAGGATGGGAGGAAAGCAGGGATGAAAGGGAAGAGAGGAAAGTCATTTTGCAGATAGAGAGTGACCTTCATCCAGCAAGAGGGATGGGATAAAAGCTGGAGTTAATACCCTGCCAAAGTGTATTCTCCGCCATGCCAAAAAAGAACATTCAGAATGATATATGGTTCTCGTAGAAGCTCTCTAATAATAAAAAGCATTCAATTGTAAGTCAAGGCAAGGCAAATGATCAGAATGTTCCTCAGGGATAAACACTCACAGTGTATAATCGAATGCAAACAGCACGTGATGTAGAAAGACATGATGTTTTCCACAACATATTGTAGGTGATCTTTAATATGAAAAATAGAGCTCCAACAATAAATCAATTATGCGACCAGCCAAAAATGAATCTGCAATTATTTTGCCAAACGATTAATCACTCAAGCAAAAGAGCCAGACATCTCTTTGGAGTTGGTCTCTTAAATGGGATGACTTGCTTATTTTTTTATGTATGATACTGACAAGTAATTTGAAGAGAGCACCTTAGACTCATTTTCTAAATATTTGAGAGACAAAACAAATCATAGGAAAAATAATCGGCACATTAATTGATACTGAAAGTGAGTATGAGCCTAAAACTGAGATAGGAATGAAAAGTGTGCCGTTTAAGGACTTGAGCCCCACAGTCCCCATGCTAAGTAAAGCCAGTGTAAATAAAGGCTCAGACAGTGTCACTCTGTGTCTGGAACCAGCCGCCTCTTGGGAGATAACAATTGACAGCCCAGAAACACGGCCCCATAAGGTTCATTATCTGTATCTTTGTGTTGTTCTCATCCCTGCTGGCAATAATGAGAAAAAGGAGGAAGGAACTCAGGTTTAGCTAATGAAGAGACAGGATCCTCTGTGAAACAACACTTCATCAATGTATGTTTCTCGCACAGTGGTCATGTTCATTCAAGGGTAAACACTATTGGGCCAGAATCAACTAAAAACTACTTCCTGACACTCACGGGAAGTGATTGCTTAGAGTAGACTGCCATAATAATGTGAATTACACTCCTGTTCATTAGCTATTGGATTCACTCTTAGTGAGGCAGATTCTGTGGCTCCATATTGACACATTTTAAGTTGGCGTGACAATAAGACACGAATGTATTGATTCTGGCCACTTTGAGATATGACAGACTTTGCAAATGCACCCGTTGCTGATGTCAATGATCTGAGGAGTCTGTGCTGTCATCATATTGCGGAGAGTGGAATGACAGCTGTGAATAAAATAATCTGCTCTTGTATAGAGACTTTTACTTCTGATTTAGGAAAAAATATGTTTGACTTGTATAATAATAAATTTGTTGTGCTCCAAATTAATCAAACTAGTACAGTTTTGAAAGATGCTTTGAACCTTTGGTCACAGCACAGGATATCTTGTAGTTGTATTCACTCTAAAACGCCACAGATTATGGACTTTAAACCACACTGCTTTTGGGTAATCTTATCAGCGTGAGCCCACATTTTGTGAAGTGGCTGCAGTGAACTGTGGGTCTCCTCTTGGCTGTAGGGAAG